TACTATTTTAGGAAATACGGTATTTTAATTTCAAGCAAATTACAAAAGTAATACTTTGGTTTAGATCAGGGGTTGGATAATTCTACTTTTATAAATAAGCTCTTATTTTATAACCATTTTAGATTTATTTATCAAAAATGCTTTGATATTTTAAAATTAAAAAATTTTTCCTTAAAAATTTATTAACCCTGCTCCAAAGGGGAGTACTATTTAAGGGGGGAGTACTAATTTTCAACCATCCTTCATAATTTATCATAGGAAAATTTATTTCAAAATTCTAAATGTCTAAATCAATTAGAGTTCGTTGTTTGAAAAATGCCGGATTCGGATCCGGATTTAAAAAAATTTTTTTAATATAAGTTCTCAAAGAAATATTCAAATTAGGGGATAAATTTGATAAATGGATAAGGTTGGTATCGTGGCGTTTGATGGTAATAAAAAATTATCAATTAATTTTTTTGGAATTTAGTAGAGATATACATATCTGTTTCTAGGGATTTATCAGGATACCTAGAATCATTATATTCAGATACCTAGAATCTTTTATAAGGGAAAAGAAAAATTGTCTTCAATCTAAACCAAAGTAATGTCAAATTATAGAATTTTACATAAAAATGTACTTTCTTCCGCCTGAAGTTCAACTTGATATATTTAAATATCTTGATTTTAATCAATTAATATCCATTCAACAAGCAAATGGCTATTACAAAAATTTTATTTATGAATTCGAAAACCAATTGGCACGGAAGGAATTCGATGTAATCAGACTTGTAATATCCTATAAATTCATTCTATTCCACAATTTTTTATTTTTAGCTTTATGATAATAAGGATCATTATACTTTCAAGCTAGAACCTAAATTTTATGAATTTCAATTAAGTGAACAGCTTGAAAAAAGGTTAGGATGAGTTTCAAAAATTACAACATAAAATCAATTTTAGTGGAAAACTGGTATAGAAGAATCAATTCCGACATTTTTACGTACTTCTACTTCTGAAGCAGAAACTGATATGACTGTTCTTGTAGTGGATAGAAAGTCTGGTAATAAAATTGGATGAAAATTATTCTGTAAAATTAAAGTTCGTATACCCCCCCCCTTTTCCTTCCTTAAAATATTAAAGATGGACAGACATAGGTTTGCAAAACGATATCCGTGAGTCCCTAGCTTGTGTAATTATAAGCACCAGCTCCAGAGCCGGCAACTTTGGAGCCGCTATGATAAACACAGAAAATACAGGACCATAGGTTCTAAAACAAAGAGCTAAGTACTTATCTTCAATAAAGTAGCCGATTATCTCGACGAGCTCTTTCTAATGAGCTATCATTTGCAAGAACCTTTTTTATTCCAAGAAATAGTCCTTATGGTTTTTCAATTTTTAATGGTCTGTATCTCGGTCAACTCAAGTCGGATTTTTTTAGTTTGGTGTTATTCGACACTGATCGACAAGTTACTCGTGAAAAATAAGGGAGAAAGGGAAGGTAAGATAGAAAAATGGTCAGGAAAAGAAGGGGCGAAAACCGCAATTACTCTTTAAAACTGGTAATCCCTTTTTTGACTGATTATATTCCAAAGGGAAATACATAGAGAGAAGTCTGACTATTTTTAATAATTTGAGGAGGGAGCCTTCAGACCCACGAGCCTTCAGACTTCCAAAAAAGTAGTATATAATAGAATATATAATAGTATATATAATATAGTATATAATACAAGCGTCCCAAAAAATTTCAGTTAAAAATTTTTTGAATTTATAAATAAAGAAATTTTTTCTAAATATTTTTAACTTGATGATGAAACTCGAATTATTAAAAAAATTACTAAACCTCTAGGTATTTGAATAAACTTCATCTAGAAAGCTAATAGGTATTTTAAAATACTTTTAAAATTTGTAAATAGTTAAGTCATTTGGCGATCATTTGGGTAGCATATACATATTTTTTAATGTTTTATTAAGAAATATTTTTAAAGGGTACATATTATAAGATTTAATTATTGATTTCCAAAATACTAGGCAAATATTTGGCAAGGAAAAATTTTTTACTACGAGTAAAAATAAAATTCCATTTGGCTTAAAATTTATTTTGCATTTAAAAATTTATCTTTACTTGGCTTTTATTCTTTTAGAAAAATATTTTTAATTAATTAATTTAATTTTAGAAATCAAAAATGAATTTAAAGTTTTGTCTATTTTCTTTTTATTTTCTTTTTCAATTTTATTTGAACGAGGGGATTTTTGATGTACTGGTAAACTCGATTGAGGATAAGGGATTTAAGCAATATTTAAAAGACAAATTTGAGGAATTGGAGAGGAAATTAAACATTTTGGAACAAAAAATTGAAAGTAAATCATTGGAAGGGAATCTGAATTTATCTGCTAAGAAATTATGTAAAGAATTGAGTGAAATGATGGTAGAGAATAATTGGGATAACTATAATAAGAATCTGAAGAGTTTATCCAAAGTTTTAACTGATGGAAAATTATTATTGAAGAAAATTTGTAAAGAAATCCATGAGGCGTGTTTCGAGTACGAAGATAAGTATTATACTAATGCTTTGACTTCAATTTCTAATAATTGGAACAAAATATTTCCGATTATTTTGAATTTTTGGAATCATTGGAACGGAAAAATTAGCTCATTTCACCAAAATTCTGATTTTCAAAATCATGCCCACCGCCGTTCAAAACGTGGTTATTACCGCTATAACAAGGAGGATGAAGAAGAACGTGAGAGAAAACAAAATGAGATGGTAAACAAATTCCATCGAGATGTTGAGGATGCTCGCAATTATTTTTGTAAAGCTTACATAGCTATAAACATTATTATGTTTATTGTTGTATATTTATATGCAACACAAATATATCCATCCCTTCATTAGGGAAATGTTCTTTTGTAAAATAGCCAAATATGTATGTAGAATTAAAATAAATAGGGTGAAGAGTAGTTGAACAAATTCACGCGAGCAACCCCAGTCTCTTTTTAGTCTCCGATTCTGTGTTTTTTGAATTAATTTTAGTTTTGCTAAAAACAAAGTGATAAAAAAATTAAAGATTTATTTGGAAAAATTATTAGCCTCTCAATAATTGATTTTTAAATTAAAAAATTCTTATTAAACACATATTTGGCTATTCCTTCTTTATATATTTTTCTCTTAAAAATTGTTTAGTGGGTTTTAAAAATTTTTGTGGGTTTTAACAAAATTTTTTTAATAGATATGATATATGTATCAAGTTAGATATTAACCGGTGCCCCCGTTTCGATTTATTCAAATTAAAAAATCCAGTTTTCGGTTTTGAGTTTTAGTTTCATACAAATACTGGTTATATTCTGGTTATACTGGTTATATTTGGTTATATTTTATAATTAAAATCAATTGATATTTGGCTATTCATTTTTTAATTATTTTTCTCTCCAAAATTTTTTATTGGGCTTTAAAATTATTTTCAGTTTTTTAATAGATTCAATACAACAGGATACATATTAACCAGTGCCTCAATTTCGATTAATCCAAATTAAAAAATCCGGTTTTCGGGTTTGAGTTTTAGTTTCAGATAAATACTGGTTATATTTTGGGGGAATTTTTTAAGAAATCACATTATCAAAAATTATTTCTTTTTAAAATTTCTTTCGTTTATAACCGATTGTTCCAACCATATTTTCTAACAAAAATAAGTATTTTTTTTAGTTTTTCGTAACTTTGACTAATTTAATCATCTTATCAATTATATGTTTAAATATTTATTTTAAATAATTTGTATGATTTTAAAACATTTAATTTTAGTATGTTCGAATTTTAGATTATACTCAACATTCTAGAATAACCTCAAAATTTATTTCGGAAAGTCTTCGGATAGTCTGCAAAAATTTAATTAATTTTTAATTTGAGGAGGCTGAAAAAAATATTAATAAATTTAACCTTTTTAAAATTTATTGAATTGTTGTTTAATTTTTGTTCACGCAAAATAGAGAAATTATTTTATTATTAAAAATTTCATTAATTAATTTAAAAGCAAAAACTTGAATTTATTTATATTATCATTTAGAATAGACAAAAGTTTACTAAACATTAATAAGGTTTATAAAAAACAAATATATTTAACTGTAAAAAAATTAATAAAAATTTGTCCTTCCAAATTTTACATTTTCATTATTTTTATTTTAAATTTAAAATTTGAATTCATGCCAAAATTTGTATGCACTACTCGCTCTGCATTGCAAAATGAGAATTTCACTTTTGGATTATGAATATTTGAAATCTTGTATTTTGTATATTTCACAACCTTGAGTTTTTTAATTTCGACATTCTTTGCTCCCTTACTTAATTTAAAGTTCAAGTTGGAAATATATTCTAACAAAATAACAGGCACCATTTTTGAACAGTTTGTCGATGTTGTTATATGCTAAAATTTAAACAACTTGTAAATTATAGATTTCAATTAAGAAAATTTTCAATTAAGACGCTGGTCTAGTTTATGCGTCCAATGGACTTTTATGCGTCCAATGAAACTTTATGAGTCCAATCAAAAAACAATTGAATTTTTTTAGTATTGCAAAGTTGCGGTATGTTTCCAAAGCATTTTTTCATGTTCGGGACCTACGCTCACTGGGTCTGGGACCATTCCTTACCCTATCCCTCGAAATTTCGGAAAGTTATAATTGTTTTTCCGAAATTTTTAAAAATTGGCTATAACTTTCCGAAATTTCGAAGGATGTGCAAGGAACGGTCCCAGACCCAGTGGGCGTAGGTCCCAAACATGAAGAAATGCTTTGGAACCATACCCCAACTTTGAAATACCAAGAAAATTCAATTATTTTTTGATTGGACTCATAAAAGTTCATTGGACGCATAAAAGTTTCATTGGACGCATAAACTAAACCAGCACCAAACAAATTACTTCAAAAATAAGATCATAAAGACGTGACAACTTGAAACATTTGTTACTTTTGAAATAAAATTGAGGTAATTTTCTGCCTCCATTTATTATAATATCGAAAAGAATATTTATTTGTCGTTCTGAAATGTCATCCTCGCTGTAATTAATACTGAGAGATTCAGAAATTGATAAATTATTTGAAACAAATTTAAAATATTTTCACGTATGTGTTTTTCATATAGAGATGGTTTTTGAATGTGAAATTGAAGAGGAATTGATTTGTCGTTATCAAACAATAAATTAATTATTTCTGGATTAAATACATTATCAAAACCGGTATATTCAAAAGCACATTTAAATAAATGTTCAAACCAACATCGAAGAACAGTCATTTCTTGTATATTTTTTGGAATGTTTGACAATTTTAAAATATAATTATTGAGTAAGACGGCAGATTGGTTTCGAGGTCCATAATTAAATAAATATAAAGGAATTGATTTATCTATCGCTTTCTGCCACTGAATAAATTTAAATTTGTTAAATAAAAATTAATTAAACTTTTTCCTTAAGTTGTGAATTCAAGTTAAATTCAAAAAATCCAGATTCAATTGGAATAACTTTATATGAATTGAACTTTTTATTATAACTCCAATTATAAATCTGGAATAAATTAAAATACATATACAATGAATATAAAATCTATTTATACGCTAAGTTTATTAAATTTCAAGCGAGCCAATTCATTCTCATATTTATCGATAAAATTTTTGAAATAACGAATGGTTTGTTTAACAGAAAATAATTGGTCGAAATCAAGACATTTGAAGACATCAAATTGAACTTCGGGTGGCAGAGAATTCATCTATAAATTTATTTATCTAAAAAAGAAAAATATTGAAAGAATTAGATTTTATTTATAAATTCATTATTCATAAAAAAATAAAAATTTTTGTGAAGAATGAGAGAGAAATAAATTTAGGAGAGTAAAAGTGTATTAGACAAATTTTGAGACCAAATGCTATTTTCGACTAAAAAGTCCCGGAGCAGTTCAGTCCCCGCTCATTTTTCATTCCTGGCCTTATAACTCATCTAGGGATTAACACCCTTCATGTTCTCGGTACCATATAGAATTAAATACTTTACAAAAGTTACACTAGGATCACAAAATTTAAACAAGCTGGTTTTTGAAATTAGATTTTTATAACATTTATCATTAAGCGTTTTATTAATTTTTAGACTCATTTGGGTAGTGTATTTTTATAGTCTGGTTAGTTAAAAATCGTATCTTGAACCAACTTGACTAAATTTTCACATTAATTTTAAATATTTTTTAAGATCAAAAAATATGTATCTGCAATCTAAAATTTCCTCCTGCTGCCTAAAATGAAGAATTTTGGCACTTGAATTCGATTTGTATATATTTTGACCCAGGTTTTGTTCTCTATCCATCCAAGATTTAAAAAATTTCAGCGGAGCCGCTAAAAGCGGGAAATTTTGTTTCTTTCGGCTTTAACCATTGAAATTTGTAAAAAATTTATTTTATTAAACAAAATATTTCAATCAAAAAACTAAACAAATTTTATTATTTAATTGCCTTAAAAACAATAAAATTTCATATCTGCTAAATTAAAATCTTTTTATTTTGATTTTAAGACGAAAATATGATCCCGTTTTCCATTCTTCATTGGAAAATGAAAATCTAGCTTTTGGATCGTGTCTATTGACAATGGTGTATTTTATATATTTTACACCATTGAATTGTTTGATATCAGCATTTTCTGCTTTTACATTAAATTCAAATTTTGTTGAAGAAATGCAATATAATTCAATATCAGTCAGCATTTTTGAACAATCCTTTGATGTTAATATAAACTAAAATTTAAATCAGAAATTTAATTCAAAGATAACATACTCGGAAAATAAGATCATAAAGCCGCGTAAACAGGGAAAATTTCATAAATTTGAAACAAAATTTAGGTAAATTATTTCCTCCGATTATTAAAAATTTGAATAGAATGTCTATATTTTGCTCCGAAATGATGTTCTCGTTAAAACTAATATTAAAAAATTCAGAAATTGCTAAATGAATAGAAGCGAAGTTCAAAATATTTTTGCATGTAATATCATTGGTAGGATAAAGAAAAAGTTCTTGAGTGTGGAATTGTAGAGGAATTGTTTTGTCGTCATCAAATAATAAATTAATCATTTCTGGATTAAATATACATCCATAACAATAGAAACACTCATAAGCACATTTAAAAATATTTTCCATCCAACATCGGAGAATAGTCATCTCCTTTATATTTTTTGGAACGGTTGGCAATTTTACATTATAATATCTGATCAATGTTTTCTCTAAAACTACAACAAATTGATTTTGATAATTATGTAAATACAACGGAAGTGATTTATCTATCGCTGTCTGCCACTAAAGAAAAACAAATTACTACTTGTTTAAATAAAAATTAATTAAATAAACCTTCTTCTCAAGTTGACTATTCAAAATAAATTTAAAAATTCCAGAGCCAAGTGGAATAGTAAGACGTGGATTTAACCTACGATCATGATGGAACACATTAACCTGTATTAAAAATATGTACATATAGGTCAATAAATATATTTACAATTTCGAGTTTATGCAATTTCAAACGAGCCAATTCGTTTTCATATTCATTGATAAAGTTATTGAAATAACAATTGGTTTGTCTAACAGAGAATAATTGATTGAAATTAACATATTTTAATATATCAAGTTGAACCTCGGGTGGCAGAGAATTCATCTCTAAATTTATTTATCTAAAAAAGAAAAATACTTATAAAAAAAATTAGATTTTATTGAAAAATACTTATAAAAAAATTAGATTTTATTTATAAATTCATCATTCATTAGAAAAATTAATATTTTTGTGGAGGATGAGAGAAAACTAAATTTAGGAGAGGTAGAAGTGTATTAGACAAATTTTGAGACCAAATGCCATTTTTGGCTAAAAAGTCTCGGAGCAGTTCAGTCCCGGCTCATTTTTCATTCCCGACACTATAACTCATGAAAGGATTAACACCCGTCATGTTCTCGGTACCATTTAGAATTATGTAAATACTTTACAAAAGTTACACAGGATCACGAAATTTAATCAAGCTGGATTTTGAAATTAGGTTTTATAACATTTTTCATTAAGCGTTTTATTAATTTTTAGACTCATTTGGATAGCATGTTTTTATAGTCTGGTTAGTTGAAAATCGTATCTGTGAATTCCACGTTCAGGAGAATCTTCAAAATTTTTGGGGATAACTATCATATGAAAATTAATCCTTTAAAATTCAGCACAAAATCCAGTCTCGTTTAAAATTTTTTTCAGAAAAGGTTTATATAAAAATGAATCAGCTTCCAGCAGAAGTTCAACTAGATATATTTAAATATCTCAATTTCGATCAATTATTAAATATTCAACGAATAAATATTTATTACAAAAATTTTATAAATAAATATGAGAATAAATTGGCATTGATGAAAACATTTAAAACTGTAATTGTAAATTTAGTATTTAAAAAATTTTTTCTGAAGCTTTCGATCATCGAGAAGACTCCTAAATTTGTTAAACCCTCCCCTAAACTTTATGAATTTCAATTAAGTGAAGAACTTGAAAAGAAGGTTTAATGAATATTTTTATTTTAAAATAAATTAATTTTAGTGGATAAGTGGAATAGAAAAATCAATTCCGATGTTTTTGGGTTGTGGTGTTAAGGACGTAAATCAAGATATTTTTTTATTTATTTATTTATTAACATAAAAAAAAAATGTCATCGAAAGGGCGTGCCACTTAATCCGACAACAATGTCGTAGTGAAGCACAATAAAAATAATCAAAATAAAAAACAGCATAAAAACAATTAAAGTCATAATAAATTAAATAAAAACAAAAATTTATATATAATCGATTTATTATTTAAATAAATATACTCTATACCGACCATTTTAATTAACTAGGATGATTAAGTATAGTTCAAATTTTGTCAAAATTTAAAGAATTAATTTGTTCAACAATTTTGCTGCGTTTTTCGTTGTTTGTCATATTTGCTGCAAAATTTAATGGAGAGAATTCAGAAGAATTGCGCTTAGACATTGTTTAGTCAACAAAAAAAAATATTACCCAATTAAATATCTTTTTAAAATTTCCTTAAAAGAAAAAAAATAAAATGCTTTTTAAACAAAAAAAAAGATAAATTTTAATAAAAATTAGGAGAGAAGAAAACAAAAAAAATTTTTTTTAAATTTAATTTTATGAGTCATCAAAAAGAAGAAATAGTGGGAATGCGAAAGAGTAAGAGATGCTTGTATAAATTGTCATTTAAATTAATTTTTTTGAACAGAATGCCAAACATAATTCAAAATTATAATTTAAATGTTTACTTAAAAAGGAAAGAAAAATAACAATATATAGCTACTATATAGAAAAAATAAAATCTATATACTAGAAAATAGGTGATTATTTAAAAACATTAAAAATGTTTTTATGATTATTTTAACAAATTGCCTAACTTTTTGCTTTTACAATTTCTAAGCATTTAAGTAAACATGATTTGGTTAGAATTCTGAGAATATGTTTAGTTCATATTCAATTAGTAAAAAACCCTTAATTTTTGGAAATTTATGAATTTAAGTAAAAGACTATTTGATAAATTATCTTTACATTCTTTACTTGATCATAAAAAAAAAATGGAAAAATTACGTTTAACAGAGGATTTTTTATATAAAGTAAATATTTTTTATTTATTTCTTATAAAGTTGATAACATTTTATTTCTTCCTAAGAAATTAACATTCAAAATAAACATTTGAATCTTGGACATGTAACATGAAAAATTTTGAAATTTTACTACGATTTTTTAAACATTGTAAGAATTTAGAGGCTTTGAGCTTGAAATAGCTGTCAATTCTGAATGATGCTATTTGTGATGAAATTGGAAAATTTTCTAGATCTAAGATTTTTTGGATTTAATTTGTTAATAGGAAAGTGAAACTGGAATTTAGAATATTTTTTCCAAATAGGTAAGTGAAATTAGAATTCAGAATATTTTTTCAAAATTGTAGATTTACTGAATGAGTATTGCTTTTATTTTATTTTTAAAACTAAGTGTTATTTTTGTAGTTCTGAGTTCATCATTTAAAACATTCCACATCTTGGTTACCCTATTAACAAATGAATTGGAAGATTTTGATGTTTGATTTTTAGATAACAAATAACAGTTTTTTCTATTTGATACTTTAAAAAGATCATCTGATTTAAGATGTGTATACCCGTGTAGGATTTTATGAGCTAATACTAAATCATAAGTCTTACGACGATTTTCAAGAGTAGGAAGATTAAGAAATTCCAATCTTTGTAAATATGGTATATAGGGTAGTGAACATTTTCGAAGTAAGATTTTTGTAAAGAATTTTTGGCATTTTTCGAGTTTGATAATATCAGATTTTAGCTGTGGATTCCATGTTTCAGGAGAGTATTCAAGCAAGGGTCTTATATAACTTTTATAGATAGTAAGCCATGTTTTTATAGATTTTGATTTAATTATTTTAAACACAAAATTCATTTTTATATAAGCTGCCCGAATAATTTTTTGTACATGTTCTTGAAATTTGAGTTTATTATCTATTATGATGCCTAGATCACGTATAGAATCTACTTCATTTATAGTTGTATTAAAAATTTTATATTGATCTTTAGGGTTAGTTTTACCAAGATAAATGATATATGTTTTATTAATAGCAATATTTAATTTCCATTCAGTTGCCCATTGTTCAATATTTTTGATAGCATCAGTTAGCATTCTTCTTTCATTTTTAGTTTTATGTATAACATATACTTTGACGTCATCAGCAAAAAGTTTAATTTTTATACCATTTGGGATTATATCAGGTAAATCATTAATGTAAATCAGAAATAATAATGGGCCTAAAACGGATCCTTGTGGTACACCTGATTTAATATTTCTAGGTTTGGATAACGTGTTGTTTATTTTGACTCTAAAAGTTCTATTTGAAAGAAAACATGAAATCCAAGTTAAAATCTTTCCTCTAATACCTATTTTATATAATTTATTGAGTAAAAGATCATGTGGTACTGAGTCAAATGCTTTTTTGAAGTCAATGTATACGCAGTCAATATTCTTTTTTCCCATTATTGCATCATACCAATCTTCTAATGTAGTAATTAATTGTGTTGTAGTGGATCTATTTTTTATAAATCCAAATTGATTATCACTAAATAAATTATTGTCATGAAGAAATTGAACGATGTATTTATTAAGAACCATTTCCATGACTCTGCATAAGGCACATGTTAATGCAATGGGTCTATAATTTTCAGGATTAGATTTTTCTCCTTTTTTGAATAGTGGCATAATTATAGATTCTTTCCATATTTTTGGTAATATACCTGAATCTAGTGATATTCTGAATATTTCAGACAGAACAGGAGCTATAGACGGAAGTGCAATTTTTAATATTTTATAATTTATATTATCAGGTGAAGTCCCATTTTTATTTGGTAATTTTTTAATGAAATTGATAATATCAATTATGTCAAAATCAATATCTTCGATAATAGATATTTGATTGCTGTTATTGATATTGTGGTTATATTGCATATTTGTATTAGAAAAATTTTCAAGAAAGATATCAGCAAAAATTTCAGACTTATCTATTGATTTTGTTATATATCTATTATTATGGTAAAGCACAGGGATTTCATTATTTGTAAATTTAAATCTTTTAAGATATTTATGAATAGAATTTATATTTTTAGTAATATAAGCATTTTGTTTTTTATTATGAAAATTTCTAGACTGAATTTTTATATGCAATGATATGCTATCATATAATTCTTTATATTTAATTTTATCAGTTTTAAGTAGCCTATAAATTTCAGCTTTCTTTTTAATAGATGCTTTTAAGTGAGCAGGGTAATCATGTTTAAGATCTTTTTTAGTTATAAGTTTTTCTGGTACATATAAATCAAGAGAAGTTAAGATATTATTTACGAGGTGATTATATTTATCTTCCAAATAATAATTTTGTGTGGATATAACGGGTATAACAGAAGATAGAAATCTATTTAATAGAAATGTATTATCTTTATTATATTTTCTATATTTTATGGGTTTGACTTCTTTTTTGCTTATAGGGAATAATAAATCAAAGATTAAAGCATCATGATCAGAATTAAACAAGGACCCATCAACATAAATATTTTGAAATAAATTAGGTTTATTTGTTAAACAAATATCCAAATATGCATCATTTCTAGTGGGACCAGGTGTAGTTGAAGATAGATTAGCAGAATTGAAAAAATTGAGAAATAGATCACCTAAACTGTTTTTACAATATGGAATATTATTGATCCAATTCAAATCCTTGGTGCCAAAATTAAGGTCTCCCAATATGATGCAATTAAAAGAAATAAAAGATTCAATCAGTTTAAAAAGTTTTTTAGTTTGAATGATACTAGTATTTGGAGGTCTATAGATAAGAATGAAATTAATGCATTTAGAATTTTGTATTTGTAGATGAATTATTTCTGAGTTAAATTTAGAGATAGACTGTTTAACGAAAAACTTAATATGCTTTCGGATCAAAATAGCGCAGCCGCCTCCCCTACGATTAACTCGATTGCATAGAACTATATTAAAATTTTCAAGTATATCTAAGTTAAAAATATTTTGGGTTTCTGTTGTAAGCCAAGTTTCAGTTACAAAGAGGATATCTATGTTACATGCACTTAAAATACAGGAAATATCGTCAATTTTATTTTTTAAAGATCTAATGTTTATAAGGCATCCTTTTATTTTTTTGTTTAAAAATAAATTGGAATTTTTTTCATGGGAAATAGTCGGTTCTAGAGTATATTTATTTATAGGAGAAGTGAGATGACTTCTTAGTTTTTTGGAAGAGTTTTTTTGAAATTGTCTATCTCACTTCTCAAAATTATATTAGAGGCATAAATGACATAGTCAGCACCGGGGTGCTCACTACGCATTTTAAAACATTGTTTAACGAGGTCTGAGCGAGATTTAAGCTCAGCAGCGGTTAAAGACTCCCTAACCCGTATATTGAAATGTGTGTTTGTATTTATTTTATTATTAATAATATATTTTTTGCCCCTTAAAATTTCCCTAACCGCTGCCTTACTTGGCATTTTTACTTTAATTGGACGACAAGAATTAATTTTTTTAACACCCATACGAAAAATAGCAGTTGGCAAACCAATGTCAACTTTGCACATATTAATAATTTCTAAAACCTTGTTTTGATCTTCCTTCACACGCTCCAGAGCATCTGATTTATTACTTTCTTCCATTCCAGTAATTACTATGCTGTGAAGACGCTCGTTTTCCTCAAATTGCTGTTGTTGTTTTTGTAAATGAAGTTCAAAATTTCCATAAGAATTTTGTTGTTCATTTAGAAGGTCTGCTGCAATTTTCAGAAGAGAGCCCATTTGTCCAATAATTAATTTCGCCCAATTAGGTGTTGTCTTGTCTTGTTCCATTTCAGTCGAAATTTTGTCAAAATTTAAAGAATTGATTTGTTCAACAATTTTGCTGCGTTTTTCGTTGTTTGTCATATTTGCTGCAAAATTTAATGGAGAGAATTCAGAAGAATTGCGCTTAGACATTGTTTAGTCAACAAAAAAAAATATTACCCAATTAAATATCTTTTTAAAATTTCCTTAAAAGAAAAAAAATAAAATGCTTTTTAAACAAAAAAAAAGATAAATTTTAATAAAAATTAGGAGAGAAGAAAACAAAAAAAATTTTTTTTAAATTTAATTTTATGAGTCATCAAAAAGAAGAAATAGTGGGAATGCGAAAGAGTAAGAGATGCTTGTATAAATTGTCATTTAAATTAATTTTTTTGAACAGAATGCCAAACATAATTCAAAATTATAATTTAAATGTTTACTTAAAAAGGAAAGAAAAATAACAATATATAGCTACTATATAGAAAAAATAAAATCTATATACTAGAAAATAGGTGATTATTTAAAAACATTAAAAATGTTTTTATGATTATTTTAACAAATTGCCTAACTTTTTGCTTTTACAATTTCTAAGCATTTAAGTAAACATGATTTGGTTAGAATTCTGAGAATATGTTTAGTTCATATTCAATTAGTAAAAAATAGAATGTCTATATTTTGCTCCGAAATGATGTTCTCGTTAAAACTAATATTAAAAAATTCAGAAATTGCTAAATGAATAGAAGCGAAGTTCAAAATATTTTTGCATGTAATATCATTGGTAGGATAAAGAAAAAGTTCTTGAGTGTGGAATTGTAGAGGAATTGTTTTGTCGTCATCAAATAATAAATTAATCATTTCTGGATTAAATATACATCCATAACAATAGAAACACTCATAAGCACATTTAAAAATATTTTCCATCCAACATCGGAGAATAGTCATCTCCTTTATATTTTTTGGAACGGTTGGCAATTTTACATTATAATATCTGATCAATGTTTTCTCTAAAACTACAACAAATTGATTTTGATAATTATGTAAATACAACGGAAGTGATTTATCTATCGCTGTCTGCCACTAAAGAAAAACAAATTACTACTTGTTTAAATAAAAATTAATTAAATAAACCTTCTTCTCAAGTTGACTATTCAAAATAAATTTAAAAATTCCAGAGCCAAGTGGAATAGTAAGACGTGGATTTAACCTACGATCATGATGGAACACATTAACCTGCATTAAAAAATATGTACATATAGGTCAATAAATATATTTACAATTTCGAGTTTATGCAATTTCAAACGAGCCAATTCGTTTTCATATTCATTGATAAAGTTATTGAAATAACAATTGGTTTGTCTAACAGAGAATAATTGATTGAAATTAACATATTTTAATATATCAAGTTGAACCTCGGGTGGCAGAGAATTCATCTCTAAATTTATTTATCTAAAAAAGAAAAATACTTATAAAAAAAATTAGATTTTATTGAAAAATACTTATAAAAAAAATTAGATTTTATTTATAAATTCATCATTCATTAGAAAAATTAATATTTTTGTGGAGGATGAGAGAAAACTAAATTTAGGAGAGGTAGAAGTGTATTAGACAAATTTTGAGACCAAATGCTATTTTTGGCTAAAAAGTCTCGGAGCAGTTCAGTCCCGGCTCATTTTTCATTCCCGACACTATAACTCATGAAAGGATTAACACCCGTCATGTTCTCGGTACCATTTAGAATTATGTAAATACTTTACAAAAGTTACACAGGATCACGAAATTTAATCAAGCTGGATTTTGAAATTAGGTTTTATAACATTTTTCATTAAGCGTTTTATTAATTTTTAGACTCATTTGGATAGCATGTTTTTATAGTCTGGTTAGTTGAAAATCGTATATGTGAATTCCATGTTCAGGAGAATTTTCAAAATTTTTGGGGATAACTATAGTGAGAAGTTTAATCTTTTAAAATCTAGCATAGAATCCAGTCTCGTTTAAAATTTTGTTTTTTTTTCAGAGAAAGTTTATATAAAAATGAATCTTCTTCCACCAGAAGTTCAACTCGACATATTTAAATATCTCAATTTCGATCAATTATTAAATATTCAACGAATAAATATTTATTACAAAAATTTTATAAATAAATATGAGGATAATTTGGCATTGATGAAAACATTTAAAACTGTAATTGTAAATTTTATATTAAAAAAAATTTTTTTCTAAAGCTTTCGATCATCGAGCAGACTCCTAAATTTGTTAAACCCTCCCCTAAACTTTATGACTTTCAATTAAGTGAAGAACTTGAAAAGAAGGTTTAATGAATATTTTTATTTTAAAATAAATTAATTTTAGTGGTTGGATGGAATAGAAAATTCAATTCCGATGTTTTTAGGTTGTGATGTTGAGGACTTAAATCAAGATATTTATTTATTTGAACAGGGTTACGAATTCACACAAGGTTTATTTATTCGAGGCTATAATCGTTTTATATACGATTTATAAGTATATTAAATATAAATCTCCGTACTTACATATGTATGTCACTCAGAAAATTTTTCTAAATTTTTTCCACAATAATTTTCCAAAGGTTTTTTACTAAATTTAGTGGTCTGAATCCGAACATTATTTCTCTTTTTGAGAAACACTTGCGGTCAAACTTTGCGGACTTTTGGACCATATAACAAAAAACCTAGTTCGTTTTCCGTGGACTTCAGAAAGGAAAAAGAGAGGGAGAATGGGGGGGGGCTACGAACTTCAAAATTACCTATTTTTTAATCAGGATTTTATTTAGGACTCTATATACAATATCCTATCATTCCAAAAAGTATCCAAGAAATGAAAAATGCTCGATATTTATTTGAACAACTTTTTAACCGTGTCATTAAATGTTTTGAATTTCATCAATTTATATATTTAATCCACAAATGATTGAATTATTATTTGATGAAACCAAAGCAAATAAACCCTTACAACTTCATTCACAAAAGTCTAATCTATTTATTTACAAAGATTATTTCCATTCTTGTCTTTTAAATTTTGCATTAAATCATCTTACTTCTAATCAATTAAACATTTATTTTGATGATGCCGTTAATGTAGAGGATTACCTGAATGCTTTATTTACAATTCTGACAAACGGAGGAGATAAATTTTCTAAAGTTTGTTATAGGCATCCCGGTCTCTTACAACTTTACAGTCTTATTATACAGGTAATTAGATAATCGGTAATACTTCGGTTCGTACCTCCCACCGTTTTTTGACCTTTTTTTCATTTTCCCTTCCTTTCGCCCTTATTTTTCACGAGGCAAGTATCAAAAAGGTTATGCATGAGAAAAGTTCTGGAAAAACTCATTTACATCATTCAATAACCAATATGAAGCAACTAAGAAATTTAAGTCTAATGAAAAATAAGGGCGAAAAGGAAGGAAAGATTAAAAAATGGTCATAAAAGAGAGGGCGGTATGAACCGAAGAATTACCGATAATATTGGTTATTTAGACATTGATTGTTGATTCTTGGAAATACTAAGATATCCGAATTCCGGAACCGAATCAAAAAGTTCTCGGTTATTCGGTACAACCGGCAATCCTAGTTTTTAATAAAAAATAAACCAATATATTTTAGCATATCGAGGCATCAAAAGACATATCCAAAATATTGAAGGAAATTAAATTATATAAAGTTTATGGATGTCTTATGTTAAGCGACAGAGCAGAAAATATTGAAATTAATTTAGAGAACGACAATTTAAAATCTACAAAATATCAGCTTTCCAATAAATACAATCCAGAAATGAAGTTTTCTGTTTATATTAAAGAGATTTATGTTATTAACAATCAGCCAATTTCTGATATTGAAATTAAAAGAATTAATTGATAAATTTATTTTTCACTTTAACTTGTTGTTTGTCATACATACAAATATTTTTTTATTTCTTTTGTCATCTGTACAAACTCGACTTCTTTTTTTATCACATTAATTTTAAATATTTTTTAAGGTTGATCACAAAATATCTGGTAGTCTAAAATTTCCGCTTGCGGCCTAAAATGAAGAATTTTGGCTCTTGAATCCGGATTCATGCTCCCACATACTATAATACCTTGCCGATTACTTTAACAAAGTTATATTTAATCCACAAATGATTGATTTATTATTTTATGACATTCAAATAATAAATCAATCATTTGTGGATTAAATATAGTTCTAATTTTTAATTAAAACATTGAATTTTAACGTTAAAAATTTAATTCAACATAAATATTCCTTCTTCAAATATTCACAAGTACAGTGCTGGAAAAAACTATAGCCGCACTTTTGAAAACTTTGTAACTTATGAAGGAGTTACCCAAACAACATCAAATTTTGTTGAAAAATGTAAAAAATATATAGAAAAATAATGGTATTTAAATATTCTCAAAATTTTAAAAACAAAACACAAAAATTTTAAAAATTCAAAAATACGCATAATTTTTACTGGAAAAAACTATAGCCGCACTTGTATTTTCGACCTTAGGAGTAGTCCAAAAATTCTACAAAAATTCCTGTAAACATATCCATTGATGTGTATAGAAAATACAAAAGAAATGAAGTTCCAATATAATTCTTTCATTGAGATCTGAAAACCCGAAAATCAACGCAAAACCGGGGGTAGACGTCTTTAAAAAATATTTTCGACCCCTTACAGGTAAGATAAAAATTTTATTTTGGGCTTATTTGAAAGCCCTTGAAATTTGCTGAAAGATAGTTTTCATCTCATTATCCAGAAAAAATTAGTCTTTGAGAAATAATGTGTTTAGTTTGTAAGTAACATTTTTATCACTTTTTGGGGGCGTTTGAGTGATTTTTATGACCTGAAAGTTTAACGCAGTATGTCTTAAAGTTGAATTTTTTTCGGAAAATAAAATTGATACTATCCTGTAGCAAATTTCAAGGGCTTTCAAATAAGCCCAAAATAAAATTTTTATCTTACCTGTAAGGGGTCGAAAATATTTTTTAAAGACGTCTACCCCCGGTTTTGCGTTGATTTTCGGGTTTTCAGATCTCAATGAAGGAATTATATTGGAACTTCATTTCTTTTGTATTTTCTATACACATCAATGGATATGTTTACAGGAATTTTTGTAGAATTTTTGGACTACTCCTAAGGTCGAAAATACAAGTGCGGCTATAGTTTTTTCCAGTAAAAATTATGCGTATTTTTGAATTTTTAAAATTTTTGTGTTTTGTTTTTAAAATTTTGAGAATATTTAAATACCATTATTTTTCTATATATTTTTTACATTTTTCAACAAAATTTGATGTTGTTTGGGTAACTCCTTCATAAGTTACAAAGTTTTCAAAAGTGCGGCTATAGTTTTTTCCAGCACTGTATTACACATATTCTTCACTGGCTAATGCCTACAAATTACAACATTTAAAGATTATTAAAATTTTTTTAAATTATTTTGTTGTTAATAAATATAGCTTCTCAAGTATATGTAACTATTATCGTTACATATACTTGAGAAAATTTGATTCCCGATGATTTCGGGAACTTTGATATTTTCGATCAGAACTCCCTGAATACCTAACCAAAAATTCAAATGATGGGATCCTTTAGAACATACTCTAACAGATGATTCGTAATAAAAAATATTTTCTAAAAGCTTAATTTTAAAAATCAAAAAAATCCAAATTAAAAAAAACGACACTAATTATGACCCGACCTACATAATAGTTGTTTTGTTTGCCTTATTCAAACGAAAGAAAAATAAAAGGGGGTGCTGCTATTATCCGAATATAAATTTTTTTGACCAAATAAAACTGAAATATGTAAAACTTTCTCTTGAACTTTTTGAAACCTCTACTTATTTTCATTTAACTCGGAACAAATCATTTTTTTACATGCATAATTCTAAAAAAGTTCCCAATAGCAAAGGATTTTCCTTCAATTCAGCCATCTTTTTTTGTTTTTGAGTGCCCCTGTCTCATACATTTTCCCTTGTTATTAATAAATGACCGCATAAATCGATGGTTATTAACGAAATGTTGACTATGAACTAAAAAATAGATTTATAACCTCGGTTAACTTGGAACAAAGTCCTAATAAAACCGCTGCTTTTAAAATCTTATTTTCTTTTCAGACAAAAGGTTAATAGTATAAAAATGTATTTTCTTCCGTCTGACGTTCAACTAGATATATTTAAATATCTCAATTTAAATCAATTATTAAATGTTAAACAATCAAATCGTTACTTCAAAAATTTTATTAATGAATGCGAAAGTCAATTGACACGGAAGAAATTTGATAGACTCGAAATTGTGATTTCCTTTAATTACATAATTGTTTTAATTTTTATCTTTAGCTCTATCCTTATGTGGGCTTTTCATATTATTATTTTATATCTGTTAAAACAGAACCCGAATTTCATGACTTTCAATTGAGTAAACAACT